GTCCTTCTGAGGCATGTGTGAGTGCTATATATGCTTTATCAGTACACAGAGGTGATTTTAATCTCATGTATACAGGAATAATTCCACTTTTCAGGCATCTGATGTTGAAAATTCGATGGTTCACAAAGCGGGATTCACTTTGATAAAAATACGTGAGATTCTTAGCTAGCATTTTAATGGGAAGAAAGTCAGTTGAAAGCATGTAAAGAGGTGCCTTATTAAACTGAAAGCCGTAATAGCTTGAAAAAATTTGGGCATTGGGTGTATGATATTCATCATAAAATAGTTTTTTTGTATTTCCCAATGACTGAAAAACTAAACTAAATTGTTTTACCGACGTGTCACTGTTTAATGCTTATATCAGAAAACTACTCAATGAGCTTGACATCAGAGTTTCCTACAAAGCATCAGACACACTACGAAATAACCTTGTCCATATAAAAGACCAAACCCCTGAAGATTCTCTATCTGATTGTCTCTATAAAATAAAATGCTCGGAATGTGATGCGATCTACATCGGACAAACATCTCAAGAAATCAAAATCAGAAGAAATGAACACCGTAGAGCATCTCTTCGACCACCGAGAAATCCAGTTGAACTAGAAAAACTTGAAAAATCATCAGCCATAGGTCTACATGCTACAGAATCCGGTCGCAAAATTGATTTTGACGATATTGAAATAATCCAGAAAAACTTCAGAAACCACAAAGAACATCTAATACCAGAAGCACTTCATATCAAGTGGAATCGAAATTGCCTGAATAGGAATGATGGGCTGAAACAGAATCTGACCCGGCTACAACACCTCTCTCCCTCATGAAGTGACAAAATCAACACAAATGTGATAAGCAAGTTCACTATGCAAACACACTACTTTTATAATTCTACACACTGATAAAATCCAGCAATCCACACTTGGTTTTGTTATCTTGACCAATTGACCAACTTGACAACGAAAAATGACCGCAGACTGACGAACGATGATCAAGTTAGTAAACTTTATTTGATATCATAACAGATGTACTATTACCTTTGTTGTTTGGTTTAGTCAACTTCATTATTATTTTGACTTTGAATATGTCCCTTTAACTTGATCTGAGTCTATTTTCGGTTTAATAATATTTTGATAAAGCTATTAGCATTATATAGCGAAACGTCAGTGAAAACAATGCGTATTGTTTTTCATTCATTGGGAAATACAATAACCTTTATTATAGTGACAACCGGATAAAGAGGGAGGCGTGGCGCTAGCAGATCCACCCCGCAAAACTCAACCAAAGAGTTATAGAAACTTCAACGTGAAAATACATTAAAAATACTAAAAATATAAACAATAATCTTATTTTTCGCTGGAATCGAGGAAGTGAAATGACACAGGCTGGTGAAAGCCTTCGGGAAGCCAGTCATTCGACGTGCCTTCTCTCGATGAAAGCAAAAGTAAGGATGGGTACCTGGAATGTTCGTACAATGTACGAAACTGGAAGGGCTGCCCAGGTAGCAGCAGAAATGAGGAGATATGGAATAGAAGTACTGTAAATCTGCGAGAGCAGATGGAACGGATGTGGTAGATGCCAACTGCCAACTGGGGAGACAATAATCTCTTCTGGCCACCCAGAGGACAACCACGAGCACACCGATGGAGTGGCCATCATGATGTCACCAACATCAGCCAAAGCTCTCATGCAGTGGGAACCAATCTCCTCCAGGATAATGACAGCCAGGTTCAACTCAAAAGGAAGGAAAGTTACAGTCATGCAATGTTATGCGCCTACAAACGTCTCAGATGAAGAGAAGAAGGAGGCGTTCTACAGACAACTACAAACAGTAATGGACAACGTCCCAAAAGGGGATATCAAAACCCTGATGGGTGATATGAATGCGAAGCTGGGAGCAGACAATACAGGAAGAGAACTCACCATGGGTCGTGAGGCCCTCGGCGAATTGAACGACAATGCTGAACTCTTCTCAGACTTCTGCGCCTCCAATGATTTGGTGATTGGTGGCAGTGTGTTCAAACACAAGGATATGCACATGGCGACATGGATTTCACCAGATGGAAACACCAAAAACCAGATAGACTTCATTTCAATCTTAAGGAAGTGGAGACGGAGCCTACTGGACACAAGATCTAGGAGAGGAGCAGATGTGGGTTCAGAACACTATCGAGTGCAAACGACTTTCAAGGTGAAGCTAAAAGCCTCGATGATGACTGGGGATAGGCCACAATGCAAGTTCAAAACTCAATCACTGAAGGAACAACTACAAAGGACACTTTCACTGCAACTGTCAGAGCAAAGAAAGAAACACAAAGTGACATCACTGAAGAGTCATGCGTGCAAGAACATTGGAAGTCTCTGAAGGCGATTCTCAACGAAACGTGCTCAATGGTTCTAGGAAGAGAGAAGAGACGAGACAAGGAATGGCTCTCAACGGACACTTGGAAATTAATAGAAGAGAGGAGAATGGTGAAAGAGAAACTGATTCAATGCAAGGACGGACAGGAGAAAGAGACGCTCAGCTCAACTTACAAAGCACTGGACAAAGAAGTGAAGAAGAGTGCTAGGAAGGACAAAAGAAGATTCTACAACAACCTCGCCACTGAAGCTGAGAAGGCAGCAGGCAAAAGGGACCTGAGGACATTATATCAGATAACCAAATCTCTGTGGGGGAAGAGGTCAACACAAGCGAAACCTATAAAAGACAGCCAAAGGAACCGAGTTACCAAGGAAGAAAAACAGATTAAACAATGGGCGGATCACTTCAAAGGACTCTTGAACCGACCATCACCTGCAACCCGTCCAGAAGTACCAACAACAGCGCGTACACGACTGTAAGTTGACACTAATCATCCAACGAGAGCTGAAGTCTTGAATGCAATCAAGCTTCTGAAAGCTGGAAAGGTAGCCGGATCAGATGGAATACCCCCTGAAGAACTGAAATCGGACCCAGAGACGACAGCAAATATGCTGACTCCGTTATTGCAAAATGTCTGGAAGGAGGGAAGGTGCCCACTGACTGGAGGAAAGGTTACCTGTGAAACTACCGAGGAAAGGCGACTTAGGACTCGCCAGGAACTGGCAAGGAATCATGCTCCTGTCGACGCCAAACTGCAAATACAAGACCCGCCTCTATTTTAAGAAAATGAAAAATGCTAACATTTGTAATGGTGTGTAAGCAAGTGGTATATGTTTTATTAATTCACATGGAAAACGTCCAACTACTTGGGAATTTAGGTGGGTGACACTGTTACAGTAGGACAGTAGAAAGGAATTTTTTGTAATGGCTACTCAACATAGAGATAAAAGCAAAATACATCTGGCATATATTAGAATAATATTTTCTCAAAGCCTCGGTATTGTGCTCGTTTTGCCTTGAGTGTTGTGCTTCTTTGTCGTCATTTCATATTTTTCCTCGTTGTTTCACAAGAATCGTTCATTTCTACTCTTCCCAATTCAATCTGTTTCTTCACTATTTCATATCCGCTCAAGTGGTATACATATTTACATCTTTGTCTAAATACTACTTGTAAATCTTGTCAGTAAAACACGCCACAACACAGATATCTCATGACTTCTATGGTTAAGGTATATGTTACTTGATTTTAACTTTTTATACTACTCACGAGGATGCATGTTATTTGAACAATATTTCTATCGAAGCCGTCCATCAAACCTTCGGTGATGTCGTCATGCCTGCTAACTGTGTCTTATTGACTTATCTCTTACGGTTGTGGGATGGTACATAGTAGCGTGGTATTTATTCTTGAAGGAACCTGCTTAGTCATGATCAACAAAGAGTTTGTGTTGGAAATCAAAAGCTTATTAAAATGTATTCTAATACTACTACGGTGCGAATGACATCTGACTCGAATTCCACAGAACTACTTCTGCAGGCGTCACTGTTTGTATTCACGAACTAATATGCAACATCTCTCACAATCGACCTCAATTCTTCGGCTTCACAGTTTGATTTGGGTGCTCAATCATTCGTGTAACATACCAGACTGATAATAGAGTGATTTTTCTCGAGGCGCAGCCTCCAAATAACGTGCGATCTTACAACCCAAACACCTCAAACTGACAAACCATTAAAGTGTTGGTTTGTAGGGATTTGATTGGTTTCAGGATTTCATCATGAGATGACATTAGTTAGAGAACCATTGGAAAACCTGGGGGTACTAGACAGCTGTTTCGTCCTAGTTTGGGACTCTTCATCAGTACGCACCCACCGGGATTCAAACCCAGGACCTTCCGGTTACAAGGCTAGCGAGCTCGTATACCATTAAGCCACTGGGACCCGATCCATTGGTCCTTGAACGGTCGCGCTATGTCGTGAATTGGCAGAAGTTAGAATTCAAGGACCAATGGATCGGGTCCCAGTGGCTTAATGGTATACGAGCTCGCTAGCCTTGTAACCGGAAGGTCCTGGGTTTGAATCCCGGTGGGTGCGTTCTGATGAAGAGTCCCAAACTAGGACGAAACAGCTGTCTAGTACCCCCAGGTTTTCCAATGGTTCTCTAACTAATGTCATCTCATGATGAAATCGTGACAAACCATTTATTGTGCTGTGAAACAAATATTGTCATTTCTCTTTTGAATTAATAATTCTACAGCATTTTGTAACACGCGTCATTTCAGTGTACAAACGGTAGAAAAACGATCATAAACAGGTGCAAATTTATCCCCAATGTTTTCGCTTATATTAGTGCATATGATGTTCATGAAGTAGATGGTTTTCCAGTAAAAAAATGCGCAAACACGAGAATACATACATATACTACCTTATGCAAATGTAGACATTAAGGCACAACAGTAAAATGATGATGTATGTTCGACGAAAATAATCTGGAGACTATTCCACAAATACCAGATTGCTGTCTTAGTTTACACACCAATAAAATCCACATGATGTTAAGCTCTCATATGTTTGTGTGAAGAGATTTACCATCAGGTACCAGAGTATGAAGGCAAGAATGAATTCTGTGGAGCTCGACGGGAACCACCACGTTATCCATCTTCGCAGATTGACACAAATAAATATCACCTAAATTGAAAAGAAGTAATACCGTGTAAGTGAAAACAGACTACATTACATTCCCAAAAAGTTTTAGAAAATTCACATTCTGTAGTGGTCACATACCAACCAGATATATTTTATAAAATGCATTCATCACGCCACAGATACTGATCAAACATCGAACAAACTCATAATCAACATTTCGACTTATCTAGGAGCAGCTAACGTAAACCCTACTTGCAGTTGGACGATTGTCTGAATAATTCACGCTTTTCACATGCACCTAGAAACGTAAGCACATGACTACAGTGTGCCTGTCGGTTTGACGGACTATGAGATTTTGGTTAGTTAGTGTTGTCTTGCGTCATTTAACCTGTTTGACATATCTTCACCTAACACTTTTCCAAAACATCAACTTTGTTCCAACCGCTTTGTCGTAGATGACTCCGACTGATATCATCAATAAGATGTATTTTCAATCGTTGCTCCTGTGATGGTGTTATTTGACTTCACACATATTGCACAAGGTGTTTTGTTCAGATCTGCAGATGGAATGTGCCATTATCCTTTCCGATGTTAAGGGAATACATATGAACATCAGGATCACTAGACATTATCAAGTAATCAGTTCAGTTGAATAGTTTAGTCTCAAATGACGCTTCATTGCCACAAATCTAGCGTCTCACATTGGATAATTATCGGTTTATCATATTCATCAGATGTGGAAATCAACTTCAAATGAAACTAACAATGATTTACGAAAATTTCTTAGAAAGACGGTTGCAGTGAAGAAAATGTTTTTTGATGAAGTCATCAACTAGACTGTACATTCGAGTAATTATATTACATGTGTGAAAACGTTTAAGAATTATTTTCGGTCTTACTTTCCTAATAACTGAAACGTTGTTAACTCATAGTCTGACTGTATTCACGAAAATCATTCAAAACTTGTAATCTTAGTGGCAATGTTTCATAAATGCTGACTTTGAAATAATAGCGAAGATTTGTGGCTGAGGTGGATGATTTGCAATTAATACTGACATTCTAGTTTTATCAGTCACCTAAAGTGCTGCGCTTAATTGAAATGCTAATATATTTGCATTGAATACACTGATAAAGTCAAAGACTTACGGCGAGTATGAGTAGTCCAATCAAAACTACTGTGAGTATGCAGAATACCTGAGTTTGAGAAATGCAGAAAACAAAGGAATTATTAACAAATAATATACACAAGTTCTGTTTATATGCGTGAATTCTGATACTGTGATACTAAACAAAATACTCACTGATTACATCTAGACAATAAAAGCTATCGAAATATCCCCAAACATCTTTGGATACATTGGTGGAGATTCATAGTCCACATGAAATACTAAGAATCATTTTGAGTAAGAGCTGTGAATGTTACATGCTGAATAGAGTGGATCAAGCATCACTGATTTAATGAATAAATTAGGAAGTATACCACCGTCTGTCGAATCATTGCACCGAGTTTACTGACCATTTCTGCCAACCTGCTTCTAACTACCAACTCTCAGTATATAACTAACTACTTAGCTTTAGAACAAAATTTCAATAGTTTGTATGGAATCAGTTCGCTGTCAGTGATAAAGTTAGAAATTCCTAACGAAACAAATCAATAAAAATTGCTACATGTGGCGGGGAGCTTGAAAATGTGTACGAGGTCTGATTCCCTGCGCTCGGCCAACATTTCCTCGTCTTTTGTATTTAGCATGGTTACGTAGAAAATCGTAGGCAACAGAGCATTTTAAAATGATGTGGGGATTTCGTCCGATTTCATAAATATAATGTGTAAATCTTTTTAACTGAAATTTGTGTAATTTACGCGTTTTTGTTCTGGGATTAAGTGGAAGCAAATCCTCAAAGCGATAGCTGAAACCATGAGAACGACTGATATCTGAAAGAAAAAAATGAACCCCTTTTCACTCAATGACGGCAGTTTCAAAGCGATCACGACAACCATCACTGTAGCCACAATCGTCACAACCAACGATAACAAAGCACATTTCCACTGAACAGTTTGGATCACAGCGGCGAAGACCACAGACCATAATATGACCTGCATAAAGAAAGTAATAATTATATCAATAACTGAATGGTGACTATGTGATAAATGAAGACGTAGCAAGCAAATTAGATACATTTCAAATGCAATGCTTCCTGCCTTCGTTATAATAGATGAATAATATAATTGGTGTCATCCGGAAACGCTGAAAATAGCAGTTATTTATACATGTAAGCAGTCTACGTGTTTCACAAAGTAAGTGAGACATTCCTCATTTGTGTGTAAATGTTATGTCGAGTGTGAAAACAAAGTGAAGCATGCAATCCAGTATGTTGTGGAATTTCATCAAATCGTCAATAACATATACATTCATACATTAGAAATATATTCATGAGTCACCCAGCCAGTGCACTGAAAACGAAATTATACTTTTACTTTTTTTTAATATTTTGATTACAGCTTGATTCCACACTGTAGTTTTCGTATAAGTATGAGATTTTCAGCTTAAGATATCGGTAGCCCAAAGTTTGCAGGCCGACCATAGATATCAGGTGTGCGTCGGCAGGGGGTCGAACCCCGGACCATGTGCATGGTCAGCGAGAGTCCTAACCGCTGTGCCACCGAAGCTATTACACTAGGAGATATTAAAAACTCATGAATTTGTGATGAATCGGTATGAAACCTAGGATTATTAAAACCTGAATATAGCAAGTGGGTGTGTCTGTAGTTTCAGCGAACCACGTATATGAAAATGGTCTTCCTGCAATGAGTTCAAGAAGTGCCTAGTGTGACTGCATGCAAACTGATTATTCACATGCTTCAGTTATACATGTCTCTCCATTTAACTGCTCCATCCAATTGAATATCGTTAAACATTGCTTTCAGTTGTGAATGTTCAGGTCATACGTAAATCTGAATAAATGTTTATTATTCTCACATCAGCCTCATTGCTTTGCTAATCTGCAGTTGTCTATGAAGAGAGTTTTCTTCCTCCTCATACAATCATGGTTGTGCCGGCCATGGAGACGAAAATGGCATGTGTTAGAAACTGAAGAAGCAAACTCATTGGCAAGATAGCCACTGCCACTGACATTTCTCAAATAACACAGCGGTAATTTGAATTTCACATAGAATAATGAAAATTCTGATCATTGCATACACATCAACGTAACACTGATACTTACTATAATCCAAAGTAGAATACGAAGACCGTAAAAATTCGAACGAATTCTCTCTAGGAATATAAGTAGAAGTAATACGATACCAACAACCGATCTGAAATGGATTCGAAAACATCAGTAATTGATCTGAACCAGCGGATAATTAAAATGACTCACTACATGATAAGTTCGAGAGAAATCATAGCAATGAAATCTCCTGTTTGTTATATTGAACTTTCTACTATCGACCCGTGGTTTATGGGATCAATCTGAGATTTTCACAATAGATAAAACAATCGTGTTTGATCAATGTTACAGACCACCGTTGCACCATAACGAGCATTATATTTGATAGAGAACATAGTGAAACACTATTTTCTTCACACGCTGATGATTGTGCTAGCATGGAGATGTTAATTAGTTCGTTGATTACAGTCCATCTTTACTTCTCAAATACAGGGATAAACATTTATGTGGAATCAAGTAATCTGGTAGTAAGAAGAAATTTATTTCCAAGACAACAAAGTGTCTGTGCAGCATTCTCTAACGTAGACCTGAAAATAAAACGAAAAGCCTGATATGTAATATAAATGATACTCGTAGTCATATCACGTAATGCCAGTTAAGGTGTGTTAAGTAATACAATTGCGTATTCAAACACCTCTTATCAGCAGTGAATCAAATATCTTGTGGGTAAGTGTCACAGTGTTGGAAAGATCTTTGATCTCGGAACCAATTCCAAATTGATGTACTCTATAACCTCGTCTGGTTTACTGGTAGGTTTTAATCCTGGTGTTATTTCAGAAACCACACCTCATAGATAAATAAATTATGCCATTACACTGTGAATAAATTACATTTATCATTTATTGAAAGAATCATTTTTTCAGTTATTAATTATCACGGTTGCATAGGAAACTAACATAACAATACAATTTAGATAGTAGGTCCCCGTGAAAAATCCAGAAATATTTTCTCTGAAATGCAAGATAAGATTTTGTTATCTTCTCTAATACAACCTTACTTAATGGCAAACAAAGCGACCAAACCAACTGTCACCAATATCATGATGAATGTGTTGATTAGTAACTAAAAATAAAATAGATTACTTGAAAAATCATGCCGCTCTTACCGAAATGTAGTAATTAGAAAGTGTTCTTTTGAGTCCTCGACTTTTTATTTTCGGAAGGAAACAGGACGCAACTAAATCTACCATCATGAAATGTTTCAAAATCTGTGAAGAAACGTAAAAGTGACAACGGAATGAGGAGAATTTCATAATAAGCGAATAAAGTTGACGAATCCATTTCGACATAAGAAGTAGGAAAATGATGCGAATAGGGTCATTGATTTCATGAATAAATTTTTTTACAATCAAACGTTGGTAAGTAAATAAAATGACACATTTGCAGTTTCTTGTGTTTCGGTAGGGACAATAAAACCTCAAGAAATTGAGAAATGTGAATAAAAGCATTATTACGTTTTAAATACACCACAGAAGTTGCGTCGGTGGTATAGCGGTTAAGACTCTCGCCAACCATGCACGTGGTCCAGGGTCCAATCCCCGGCCGACGCACTGCTTTACCTCTCTGAGCCAGAAAGTAATCCTGGTAAAGAGGAAAGGTTGGGCATGAGGCTAGCCTCCCCATACTGTAAAATAAACACTGCTACAGAAACTTCAAGCCACTAGCTTGAAGCCCTATGTTTCACTGGGGAACGTGAAGGAAAAAAATAAACAGTAGTTTTGACAAAATGACACAGGAGATTCGATTTGCGTAAAGACAAAATAAGTAAAAACTGGGAAAATACCCACCATCAGTACAGAAAACGTTAGATGATGACCCACTGCAACTTTACCAATTATAAATAGGAATGCCAGGCGCATCTGTTATATGTCCGTGAATAATGAGTTGAAACCAACTGCAAATCAGTGCAATACATTTTCTTTTGAACGAAATAATTCGTCATGTGTAAAGAATAAATCACACTAGGTATGATCAACAAAATATAACTAACACGACACGATATATCCATCCATCTTTGAGTCAACTCAGGAATTATTCAATTCAAAATAAGTACCAGAGAGGATGTGACAGTAGCACACTCACCTGAAGTAGCTCCTTGTTTCATATATACACGCCTCAGAAAACATTCACGTTAATTCGCATATATATATATATATATATCTTGATTTTTGTGATGGTTGTCGATACCCATTTTGGATATACTAAGTGTTCATATTCCATTCTATGTTTCAGTGTTATCACAGCTCATATGCTATAATTTTTTTCTCAAAATCATGAGCTTATGTACATCAATTGTGAAGTTTGATACACATTCAATTAAGATGTCGTCATACAACATGAAGAAATAATTAGCTAACTTGACTAATAAAGGGTTTTTTCTCACGAAATGTATCATATTGGTGGTTCAAAGGTTTCATATATTTCATATATCAATTCAAACAAATTATTTGATTTTTAGAAATGTTATAAAAAATCTGTGGACTTCATTCTAGAGATGTTGAAAGATATTTTGTAACCAGACTTTCAACGAAATAGAACAAAAGTTTCATTTACGTGTAATATCAAAGATTTAGGATTATTCTACAGTATGGCACTATTTCACACGCAAATTTATTCTAAAGAATCTACGAACCTTTTATTACGAAGTATCTAGACTGCTTGCAGTCAAATGCGCTGTTACTGCTCACCAGAAGATATCAGATGCTCACTGGTTTGATCAAATTGGACCAGCTTCCCATGTTGGTTTAATCTCCAAATGATTCAAAAATTTTCATGAATTTTCGTATTTAGGTCAATCGTAGTAGAAATGGAGGGGTTTCTGTCCAGTTTTCTGAGCTTCTCTAGAGATGAGCAGGTATTCACAGGGCGCAACGTCCAGGTACCTCGTGGATACGGAGTACTCCAGTTAACTTGATCAAGGTTTGACCAGAAACATTCGGCATTTATTGAATAGAAGACATATTTCGAAATCACTTTTGTATAAAGATGAATGATATTAAAACTAAACTTTGTTCGTGAAACTTACTCAAATCTCTTCAACATTATGATCAAGATAAAACCTCAAAGCTATAGTTGAGTGTAAGAGGCAGTTTCAATTCACCATTGTCTACTGAGGAGATAATGTTTTTAAATTTTAAGCTATTAGATAGTCAGCATCGAGGACTTATTAGGCTCTAGTGTTGTTATACAATTTTCAAACAATGAGCTCTAAATTATCATTCACCTACTTAAGCTACTTATCACTTATAAGTAACAAAATGATGCTTTCCACAAATAAAACTCGAGTTTGACATTGGGGATTGTGTAATGCGATATTGCAGTACTGTTCGATAAGCGTGAAGTGTACAGCGCGAATTTTAGAAATCCATCGTTCCAAAACTAAACATACAGAAATGAAATTTTTGTATATATACATATATTTATATATATATGTGCATATCAAAAGTTTGACTGAAAATTATAAAACCTCCCCTGTTTCTGTCAAGAAACGAAAGAACTTTGGTTATTGGTATGATAGTTAGTTAACAAATATCCACTGAGTAACTATAACTTCAGGTGGATTGAACTTTGTGTAGTGGCTTCAAGATCTCCACTGAAATTCGTGTGAGAAAAATAATTTGTATAAAGTCACAAATGGGAAAAAGTCGAATCTTCTAAGAAAATCCTAAGAGAAAAAGTCTGATTTTACCAAAACATTTGTGATACATCTTAGCAGTACATTTCAGAAGTCTTATCACATATCTACGTCTTTATTTAGCGTCGAAGAGGATGGAAGCAGACAAGAAATTGTGATTTATATGAGTAAGGTTAATCACCAAGAATGAAACAAGGTAATTTAAAAGAGGCTAAGTAGCTATAACTGGTGTATTTATGATTTTTCCGAATCAAATATCAGCTAAAATGCTCATTCCGTCCTGTACTTTAGTGAGACATGCGAGCACGAAAACTACTCTTCCGAAAATATATACAGCAAAAGTGATGAAAGCGGAATGATAAATAGTAACAAAATGCAAAATCGCAAAAATCTTTCTTTCGAAAATGTCAACATTTCAATATAAGTCGCAAAAATGGGCAGAACGAGTTTATTTTCCCCGATTGGTTGTAGCCGATCAGCCAATCACTGACACGTCAGTTATTGTGTATAGTATATTACTTCAAATGCACCTCATCATTATAAAAAAGACCTAAAAATTAGTGAAAATACCGCAAGTTTAGTTAGTTCCACCAGAATCGCGACTGATTTCTGTCATTCATGTATATAGTTTGTGTATGAATACCGTCTATCTACTCAGTCACACCACCTTGGTATCTGCTTGCAGTTACTTCAAATGTTTACAATGGATGCATCATTTGACACCCATTCTTATCATCATACTATATATAAACGCTTGTGTGCTTCAGATGGCAGTTATAAAATGTAAAATACTGATGTGAAATGAACAGTGATATTGACGATCAAAATTATGCTGTGATCAATTTCATAGTGTTACGTGAATCCTTCACTTATTCTAGTCTTAATATGTTCATTCAAATGAGGGATAATAAGTGTCGAGTTCTGAAAACAGTTGTTGATGTAGTATACAATTTACGAGGCAGAACATTATGCTGATCACTGAGGAGCAACAAGGCAGTGTGATCAGAGAATCTTCACAGAAATATAAATTTGTTTCTCATGACATGAACACTGTCTAACTTGAAGACAGCCTCAAGTGGTATGACGAATTGAATTGTAATCATTTAGTACATCCGGTGACCATTCCGCAGTAAACTAAGTTATGTCTCATGGTTATATGTTCACCGTTCTGAGATAACCAGCTAAATTAAACTAATAAGATCATTGCATTTGTTTCATATGAAACGATTAGAACCGTGGTCTTGAATTCAACATCAAGTATATGAGTTCAATCGTATTTTCAATTTACCTTCTGACTACCCATCGCTATTTCTTGACTTACATAGACCAGTTGACAGGGAATATTTCCAGCATAACTTGCATTTTGTAGAACCCTAGGTGGATAATAAAAACAATTCTGTTAAGTTACACAGTTCAGAGAAATGCTGATATGAGCTACATATTCCCTATATCCTTTCTCTCAGTATGCATGAGAGAACTGAGAGAATAAAAACAAAATGGCTACCGCTTAGATATAAACAATAATATATATATTCTATAGAACACTTTTGAATACGAATTGTTAATGTTAAGTGGTGAAGAGAGTGGACCAAAACACCATTGATTTTATGGTTGAAGAGAAAGTATATGATCGTCATTTGAAACATTCCACAGAAATTACTAGCCATTACTATTAGGCTGCTTATAATCATCAACTCTCAGTAGACAGAAAACTACGATAGTTTGATATGAGATCTGGTGAACTTCATGAATAAGCTTAATAACTCCATTATGGGTAAAATCTATTTTGATAATGTCTCACAGTGTTATACAGTAATATTTCCTGATGACGTTTTGAGCACAATTCATAATTGCTCATAATCATATCATGGTACTCACACAATCTTCTAACTTCGTTTATATAATTCCATGAATCCTTGTTCATCGAGTCTACACTCAACACGTGCAATAGGAAGGACTCATCACTCATACCGGAAATATGGATAATTCTACTACCAGTCAAATCAATCGATGGATAATAATGGAAAGGAGTACCTTTATGTGATTATGAGCAGTAATAAATTGTGCTCGAAATGTCATAATTAAATATCACTGTATAAAACTGTGAGACTTTATGAAAATCAATTTTACCCATAATGAAATTATACTCTAACACAGTGCACAAGTTCCATTCTTACATGAAGCCTAATAATTTCACTTCAGGTTCTTACAATTGCATGGAGAATCTCAGCATGAGCTGACGTCAGTTAGAGAACCATTGGAAAACCTGGGAGTACTGGACAGCGGTTTCGTCCTAGTTTGTGCCTCTTCATCAGTACGCACCCACCGATGTCCGAACCCAGGACCTTTTGGTTACAAGGCTAACGAGCTCGTACACCATTGAGCCACTGGGACCCCATCCAATGGTCCTTGAATTCTACCTTCTGCCAATTCACGATATAGCGCGACCACTTCGCAATGTCTTCTACAATTATAAAATATAATATTTATTGTCGTTTCAATAATGGCCAGTTACGCGATGTAGACTAAGAGATTAGTTATGGGGTGTGAAAATAGTCGTATTTTTTGTGGCAAACATGATTGGCTGAAGGCGACTACAAACTATTGTAAAATGGGAGACAATGGGGTGATCAATTATAATATCTTTGTAGAATGTGGGGTAGGAAAGTTGAAAAGCCAGGTCAAGATTACAAAAGGTGTCAGGTGAGTGGCTAGTACAAAGTAGTATATATTAAAGAGGAGAGAGTAACACTGCAATGTGAGGTTCATAATGAAATAACGAATGTGTGAAATGAAACAGGTGGAGGCATATATTGAGAAAAGACATAAAACCATTAATAATAAGTCCGGATTGTATAAATGAAAAATTCGATAATATTGAGAATATTTGCATGAATGGCATAAATGATGACGAATAATAATAATTGTAATAATAAACAACGGGAGAAAAACAAAAAAGAATTGAGAGTGCTTCTTCCCCTTGATCATCTTGGGTTTTTTGTTTTTCTCAAGTGACACCTTTTGTAACCTTAGAACGACTTATCAATTTTCATACCCCACTTCCTATGAATCTGTTATGACTGATCACCGCCCTTGTTTCCCATTTTACAATATTTTTAATTGATTTCATCCTAGCGTGCTTGTCACACAAATACGACTATTTATTTTGACACCCCATAACTAATCTGTTATTCTACGCTAATAATTCCTAACAAAACGAATCAGTCAAAATTCACACATGTTGAGAGGGGGTGTGGGATATCAGTAAAATAAGCAGCCTACATATGTAACTTATTTGTCTCGGCTGATATTTCACCGTCAATTGCATTTATCATTATTACGAGAAAAACCGAATTTAGCAGAACATTTTAAAGTGATGTGAATGTTTCATCACATTTCAAAAGAATAATGTGCCAATTCTTACAACTTGAATTAGTTTAGTTTACAGTAATTTTTCCACGGGT